CACAGCACGACTACGACAACACAGTTTGCAATCATACTTGTAAAATGTTACTGATACCAATCTATGCCTAAAACGTCTGTGCTGGGAGAAGGATGAATAAAGGAGATTTCTATTTGATTCTGGGCTTTTTTCCCGAAATATACAAGTTTCATCTTAATATCTAGATAACCAAGTTTTTCCATTATAGTCACTTATCTAATGTCATATATTTTACTATGCATTCATGCTTTAAGAAAAAAAAATCTCATTTGTTAATATCAGAGAAGAGATGCTTGTGATAAAGTAATAAGATGATAGAGTTTGATGTTTCGTCTTTGTAATGAAATCTCTTCTTGAGGACGAGGAGGAGGAGTGGAGTTGCTTTCATAAAGGGATGCCGTTTCCATCAAATGGTCTGTTCCATCTTTTATACCCACAACGTGTATATCTTGCAGACCTGCAGAGCCATACATGATGGTGCTTCTGGTCTCTTTCTGGCAGCATGTCTCACTCATTACCTATAGTAGTGCAGTCATTAGAAAATAAGGGTCGCGATACGGCCGTTGGCAGCACTGGAAGGTGTTTGTGTGGCATTCAAAATGTATCATGCACAAAGGCCTCTGTTCCCTCTCTCACCACCAAACAAACACGCACATGCACACAAGTGCACACACAAAAAAACAAACACTTTTCTGAGTTGGAGCTGGAGAAAGAGCTAGGACTATTGTGCCTCACCATGTAAATTAGTTGTTTACTTCTGTTCCCTCCCGCACTCGCTCACATCATTAGCCACCTAAATATAACAACCGGCTGCCACCAATTTCCATCATACAATCTCATTTCACTGGTAATGACAGAGTGCATACACCAATAAACCGAGACCCTAAAACAAGGTGAATGGCGGAGTCGAGACAAGAATACTTATGAGCACAGAAATGTAATTTGTTGTTTGGGTTTTTCTTTTTTCCGCGTCTTTTCAGTGTTTTCTCGTCACTTACAATGCCCTATTAATTATGCCATTCTGTGTGCTAACTTGGTCTGGCAATCCCTGGTCATTTGGGCTGTGCTAATTTCAAAAAGGATTTCACAGGGATCAGTCTTCACAAAAAGGTTTATGATAGAGAGACTAATAGAGTGAATGTAACCAAGGGGACTGTGGATAGAAGGACAGCGAGGTGCATACTTCCTAATTACTTCTGTTTGAAGCGCATGATAGTTAATTAATCTACGCTGTTATGTTATTCCAGAGAACCACTTGAGTCACACCATATTCAATTAGAAGTCTTACGGAGAAGGAGGGTTCACTCTTATATTGTGACAGGCAACTCATTATATCTATTGCTGTTTGACGAATCAATACAGACGTGATTGGGAAAGTTACGCAGGTCCCATTTGTAACCACAGAGAATAACAGTAATCATGTGCCAAATATCAAACTAGGAGCACTATATTGATTCTACGAAGTTATTTTGAGTCCCCCTCCCCCCAATGATTATGTTTGTATTTGAAAAAAATTAAAATAAAAATAATAAAATAGAAAATAGTAGAGATGCACAAAATCAGAATTAGTCTGCTTCATGCACAGTGGTGGAGGCAAACAGCTGTCCACACAAGTTCAACAAAGTAAATATAAGTAAAGTAAAAAGGCAGCTAAAGCAGCTGGTGTGCCCCCCCACACACACACACAATGTTTCAATAAAAAGTTTGTAATTTACTAGTTGGTGTAATGCTGCATGAAAATTAGAATAAACAAAACACTTAAAAGACAATTTTGAATTGATTGTATGCCTGTTGCTTATATCTGACAGGAAATATGTGCAGTATTTTGGTGTTGCTGGTATAACCTTTTCCTCTTTATCATTAATAGAAATCTTGAACTGTTAAGAGAAATGTAGAAATTTGTTCGAGTGAACCATCCTCTTTGTAGCTTTGGATAAAAACATGGAAGATTAAGTTAGATTAACTGGTGCTTCTATAGAGCTTTTCCACGCTGAGCTTTGAAATGTTCTTTACTAGAAGCAACATTCACTGATTCATACACACATTTAATACAGCACTTTGATGTATGTGTTTAAGCACTCTATAGCTACCACTCCAAGCGATGCTTTCGAAACTCAAGGAGCCAGGGATCAAACCACTCACGTTCGCATTAGTGGATGGCTTGCGACACCTCCAGAGACACAGCCACCCATTTAATTAAAAGACCTCACATTCCATAGGAATATATTTATATATATATTTTAACTCTCCAAATCCAAAAATGTAATATTTTTGAACATTTTTGTAGTTTGCAGTTTACAAGAGAAGTTGAAAATCTTGACATTTAAGAGAAATGCATTTAGTGCATATGTAATAAATTCCACCTGCCTAATTACACCTTCAGTAGGAACTGTTCTGCATTTATGCTTTAAAAAAAAAAGCTATATATATATATAAATAAAATAATGTCATGTAATGATGCCTATAAAAAGGACCAGTAGTAATTCCCCAGTTTTTCCTTGAAGACCACAAATCAGCCCAACTGAGCATGGTTTGATTTGGCCTAAAAACATCATTTTCTGATTCTGAGCTTGACCTCTTTAATCATTACTGCATATCACACTGTTGATCTCCAAACACAGCTTATGTTGTCAAATACAAACCCATGAAGACCACATTTGTCAAAATTCAAGGGCTGGGAGAACATTGGGGATGGATTTCCACATTAGTCTTTTAAGAGTATGTCTGCCCTGCCAGAGGCTTCAACACACTGAGGGGGGGCTTTATTATCTTGGTCCTGCTCTTCAAGGGGGTCAAAGGTTAATTTATTGAGTCCCTGGGTGAAAATGGGACACAATGGAAGACAATTTGTTCTTCTCTGCAGAGCAAGCAAGCCCCAGCTGACATATGAAACCTAATTAATACGAACAGAAGGAGAGGAAGGATTTTACGTCTCGGTCGTTGATAATCAAACAAAGGGCAGAGAGATGGACAAGCTGTCTACCTCCTCTTCCTTCAGTCTCCTCTCCATTTTTACTCACTTGTCGTGTATGACACGAACCTACGTCTCTCTCGCCGTCTCTCGTTTGCGCTTCCTATCTCTCACTCAGAGACAAGAGAGGTTCGAGAGCACAGGCAGGAAAATCAATCAAGATTGGATTGATAGTGTAAACTGACAGGCCAAAGAGGTAGCAAACCATGATACATGAGCAGATTAGGACTGAGTGTGCCTGCAGGAAATGAGTGTGACCAGACGTTGCAGAAAACTAAAAAACAAGAGCAGAAACAAGTAGGGATGGGTATCGAAAAACGGTTCTTGTTGAGAACCGGTTCCCACTGTTTCGATTCCTTGGAATTGTTTGCCATTTTTGCAAACGATTCCCTTATCGATTCCAGTCGCCCCGAATGACGTCACCACGTTGCGGAGCGTCATTTACCTGGCAGGAAACATGGCGGCTCAAACGCTCAAAAGTTAGGTTATACTTTACTAGCAATACTTGCAAAGTAGATACTTCATTTAAGGGAGGAAACACTACGAATATGCAAAAGCATTTGCTCACAAAACACGTGATAACCTTAAATAAATGTCGTGTTTTTAATTCCGCTCCGGACTCGTGAATCTCAACCCAGCAACAGCGGTAACGTTTGCACGTCCTCTCCCGTTAATGCGGCAGGTAAACAGTGCATATTATGTTAGCACGATCTGCCTTATTACAAAACCTGCCTTTACTGTGCATTTAGGTGACCATGATGAGAGAGACAGAGTCTGGCTCAGACGCTGGCAGTTCTCGCTGCAGTCTACCGGTAGCGTCTCCTTTCAGGCCAGGATAGACGAATGTCACCGAGCAGTGACTAAGTTTGTGGTAAAAGGCTTGAACCCATTTGCCACAGCAGATGCCTCTAATTTTCAGTAAGTGAATGTGTTTAATTGTAGGCAGGGACATTACTGAATATTCTGGGGCAATTGCTACAGAATAATTTATGTTATACTTTGTTATTGCTACAGAAGAATATTTATTTTATTATTTTACATTTACAATTTTTTTTCCTGGGGACCCTGTGACACCCCATTGAAGAGCTGTAGGCTGTGGATCTCTTAAGATCTCACCGTTGAGTTTGTAAGGCCATGTTACTCCTAAATTTCTATCTTGTTCAAAGAGAAGATATAAAACAACAACTGTCAATTTCTTGATATTTGTTTAGAATCACATCTGTAAACCCTGAATATTTATTACTCGGTGACTTGTATATATTGTGCCAGTCCTCATATCTTAACATACTGTGTTGATAAATAGTCTAGTTTGTTTTTGTTGACGCTAGTGTACTGGAGCAACTGTAACCCACATAATTTCCCTAGGGATTAATAAAGTATTCTGATTCTGAAGAGTCACCATAACTTTAAAAAGAGACTTGCTGCCCCTCATACAAAGGTTTAAAGAGGGACATGTCTTTTCAGGTATGGTCACAATTAAAAATGAACCACAGTTTGTTTAATTCTGTGAGCAGCCGAGTTCATTAAAGCTACAGTGTTTTATCATTTAGTCCCAGTGCCCATTTAAAACCTAGAATCGCAATACAGCAACACTGTGATGTTGAACATTATTCAAAACAATTATCTTTAACACATCACAATGTCTGTTTAACTCAAAGAAGAAGAAAAATGCAAAAACTTTATGCAACTAACATTAACCAATTTCAAGGCTCCATCTCTTCAGGTTTTTGCCTTTTCCCTGCTCTCAAACGCTGTGCTTTGTAGACATTTGAAAAGTGCCACCACGAGGAGTCATGAAGTACTGACACAAAGTGGAAAAGTCAATACATTGGCACCAGTGTATTGATAATGTCTCTGAGAAAATGAAACCAAAAACAGTCCAATCCCATCAATATTTTGTCCCCCTAGATTTTACGCAGTTTAGAAATGTTGCAATAATTTCTTTTTCATTGCTTGAACCAATGTGTCACTCTACTCCAAGAGATCAAAACAAGGTAACAAGATTACAGCTGAACACAGCCTCGCTGACCTGCTGTAATTAGTAACTGACCTTCATGCTCCCGCTCTGAAACACCAGTTTTTCTCATCTTCTTAGGAGTTTTCATGAAAAGCGGGAAGATTGTTCGCAACCCCAAGATGTCCACAAATTTATGGCAGTTATCTGTTCCCTCTGGTCCAATCATTCCATGGTCCAGGACCTTCAGAGCACTGGTTCGGGACATCTTCTTTTCTCTGCAGGATAGAGAAGAAACACTGAATAAATCTTAAATGCAGGCTTTTTTATTTTGTCCTGGAAAAGTCTAGCTAACGGTATTGAGACACCGATAACAGACATGCCATTTTTTTTTAATGCATTTATATCTACATGAAATTTCAGCCTTGAGGTGCATGTTCTCATTTCTAACAGAAAAACAATATATATTTATTCCTGCAGAGTCAAACAACATGGATTAAATTGGACCACAGCTTTACATGATCACTAGAATTAACAGATACAAAAAAACAAGGCATTTGACAATTATGCTGCTGGAAATTTTAAGCACTTAAAATAAACAGTGGAGTGCATGAAGAATTACTTGTGCAAACACTTTTGTTATCGAGCACCACATAAAAGGGATTTCAGCACTTGCTTCTGGCTTTTGGAATGTTCTCTTATCTGCAAACAAAACATACAAGTGATCCAGATCTAAAATAAAAGAATACGTTTTTCGCTGTTCTCCTCAGCGTGAGGTTTGTGAATTTACTGACAAATACTTGGCGTTTTTGCGTGGCAACTTTAAACTTCTGTAGTGGTTCAGAAAATTCCTCAAACAGCTGCCTGGCAATCCTTCTTTATGGTAGCTGTAGGTGTTGTTGACAGTTTAGCAGTGCATAAACATATAATAATATCTTTCAGGGTCTATATGTCACATCCCTCGAGTATCTCTCTTCAAAGCCAGGGCTTGGTCTAAACAATTCTTAGCATTTCACAGACTAAAAATCACATCTTACAAACACACAGCTGCTTTATATTTGATTCACAACAAATAAGTGCAGTTTTAAAGAGCTGATTTGTACAAGTTGTAAAACAACACTCACAGTATTAAGCATGAGAGATTTGAGACGTTCAGGAACGTGCAAGCTTGCCAAGCAACAATGAAATGTTGCCGATATTCTCCACTCACATCATTTATTAAGTTGTATATCACTAAAGGCTGTCGGCCCAATGCAATGCATGAAAACTCATATATGCTTTTACTAATAAAAGAAAACGAGTAAACACGACAAGATGAATTGTCATCTGTTTTTCATCATCAATTTATTGTAGTAATAACGAGGATATGCTGTTCTCTTCTCTTTGCATCAACCCGGTCCGCTCTACACACTTCTTGTAGGAAATGTAGCTGTCTATCAAAGTGTCACTTCCTCCATTCCCACCAATGACAGATGACAGTGTTTATCTCACAGGAGGGACACATATTTCAGGCAGTTGTGTCTGGTTCTGCAGACAGACACATTATATATGATGGACGGCAGTGAAGGGCAAGGGGGAGCGATATGCAGTGTACTTTCAGAAGGGAACCTTCTGAAGGGAAGCCAATTCAGCTAGCAGACAGCTGACTTAACTCAAAGTCCTGGTGTCATGAACTACTCTGCTGTCACATAAAAAATGGATTGTGGGTTGTATCTAGTGGATACAAGCATGACAGCAGCAGTATGTTTTCGATTTCAGTCAGATTCTAGATTAGACTAAACCAGAACAAAGTCAAAGAACCTGGAAAAGAGTTTATTAACCTGAGCAAGACAGTTACGAGGATTGATCAGAAAATGGCTACATCCCACTGGAAAAGACAGGGAACTACATTAATAAGAACTTGTATGAATGCTGATGCCTTTAAAAGTCTTACTGTGTGTTTGTAAAACTGCTCTGATAAAACTCTGTTTCAGTGGCGGGTCTAACAAATATTTCGCTCTGCCAGGAATTCATCAAGACACCAGGTCTCAAATCTTTTATGTTATATGAGGCTGAAGAGGTCTGAAATTGAGCTTTTGATCGAAGTTTCACAGTGAGTAGAGCAGCTTTTCATTTTTTTATTATTCTGTTTATCTTGGTTACTTTGTAACTCAAAGATCAAAAACACTACATTTTGTATGATGTGGGGTTATTTTGTTAGGCATGTTGGTGGTTTATCATAAATATAAGGAAAATATAAGTGATCCGGTGTTTAAAGTGAATCTTAATTCTAATTTACATCTCTCTTTTAAACCACACCTAGCTTTTTTTATGATTCACAGTTCAAAATTATCCTTATTCATATTATACTGGACCTTAGTGCAAAGCCTGATGGCTAATCTAACAAGCTCCAGCATTGCTCTGTGAGGAGAGGAAACCTTCCAGAACGCCTACCATTTCTGCAGCACTCCACTAATCACTTTTCAAAATAAGGCACATGACAGCCCTGCTGGAGTTCAGCAAAAGGCATAAAGGACGCGCTGACCATGATAAACAAAATTCTCTGGTCTGATGAAACAAAGACTAAACTCGCTGGCCTCAATGCCAAGCGTCATGCCTGGAGGAAACCAGGCACCACTCATCACCTGGTCAATAGCATCCCTACAGTGAAGTATGGTGGTGGCAGCATCACGCTGTGGGGATCTTTTCTGGCAGCAGGAACTGCAAGACGAGCCATGTTCAAGGGAAAAACACAGAAACATCCTTGGTAATAACCTTCTCCAGAGCACTCTGGTTAATCTTCCAACTAACCTAAGCACACAGCCATGATAACAAAGGGTAGAGCTGGGCAATAGAACGATAACGATATGTATTGCGATATAACTTTTTCTCGATAGAAAAATTAAACTATTGCGATAGACCTCGCCGCTCTTGTCCTCTTAAAAATAAATAAATAAATAAATAAAAAAAAAAAAGAGAGAACAGCCAATCCAAATTAAGTAGCGCAGAGCCGAACCAATCACAGCCGCAGCGTCACGTCACGTGACTTGTTACGTATGGCACAAGTGCCAAGCCGCACATGTGTATTTGTTTGGGAAGCAGCCAGCCACCGTACCGCCCGGGTAATGGAGGAAATGAGTGTGCCGACTAGAAAAAAATCAACCGAGGGTGACCGAAGAGAAAACAGATGATGGTTCCAACGCCGGAGAGATTGTCGAACGGAAGAGCCATAGAAGTTCCGCAGTGTGAAGGTATTTCGGCTATTTCAAGTATGACAAAAAACAGAGTAGCGTTCACTGTAAATTGTGCCGAAAACAAGTCTGGAAATACAATAAACTGGTGCATGCTCGGCTACGTCCACACGTACCCGGGTATTTTTGAAAACGCAGATTTTTCTATGCATTTGCACCTTTCGTCCACACGTAAACGGCGTTTTTGGTCACTGAAAACGAAGATTTTTAAAAACTCCGGCCAGGGTGGATATTTTTGAAAACTCCGTTTTTGCATTTACGTGTGGACTAGAAAAACGGAGAAAACGCAGCGTCAAAGGTGTGCGCATTTTTTGACGTCACACTGTGCGCCACGTTATTGTTTCGGTGAAATGAATTTCTACAATACTGTTGTTAGTCTGTGGTCTGGGAGAGAGTCCTGTAACTCTGTCTGCAAAATACAGTATATAATGACCAATGTTGGGCAATTAATTATGTAGTTACTTCTTCAAAAAACTAACTGAGTTATGCAAACAAAGTTTTTTGCAGCTGTTTACCTAAAAATGCAGCCAAGGCGTTTTTTTTTTAAAATAAATATTTCAAACTATTTACAGAACAATCAGCTGTTCTGCATCAACTTTGATGCCACACAAATCATTTGTGCCACTCCAAAAAATAATTTCTGTCCACTATGAGTTAAAGGAGAACATCACAAGCCTGATACCTGCAGGCCTGACAACAGGAGATGCATCACTCCTGTAACACTCATTGTTCTAACGCACACAACAAAACTATTGACTACACTACACACTAACTACACAAGATTTGTGCTAAACGTCGCAAATCTCTCATATCTCAAAACACCGCCGTCACTCCTAAAACTTCCCCCCATTCCTAAACAACTAAATGCCACGTTACCATATTATTTTTTGATTGGTCGACATGGTACATTTTTCCACCAATAGGAAAGGGTGGGGGTTTTTTGGTTTTGTATTTGCTCACAGGCGGAGAGTGCTTTCGAGCGTTTTCCTTATAAAACGCAGTTTCATAAACAACGATAGTAATCAGGAAGGAAACCAAACATTGCATATTTTTATCATAACTCTGGTTTTACGTGGCCTATCAACACAATTTAAAAACTAGTATAAAGTCCACACTTTTTCCGTCAATTGTTCCGTCTGTCCTGCTCACATCTCCAATGGTTGTACACGTTGTCATTAACGTGGCTTCAGCCACGCTGCTTTGCTAGCTAAAACACCAGAGTCGGCACATAAGGACGCTGTCATAGCCTCACAACGACGTTGATTAGCTGCGTATATACGAATGTGAATCGCATTATTGGCTGGACTATGGGATAAGGTGGCATCGTTCTAATCCCATACGGGAGCAGCCAGTCACTTACTGACTAACACTGCAAAACAGAATTGTTAAAGTATTAATTTTAATTTCAATTCAGGTTACATTTTTTTTGTACGCAACGCAGATTTTCTGTGTGCAGAGACCGCAGTGCGCAATTGCACATGCGCACAGCTTAGAGGGAACATTGTTGACATGTTGTTAGGGAGGTAATAAATACATGAAGACTGAGGGCTGCAGCAGGATTATTTAATATGATAAAATGGAAGTTTTCTCTGTACGAATTTAGCGTCAAATAAAGGTCATCCTTGCACAATGAAGTGCTCAGAAGTGAAAAATTACAGAACTTGTTTCTTTCTAAAGAAGACATTTACAACATTCCCAGAGTTATATATTCTGCTCCAGCATATGTTGTTGTAATTACTCCCCCACCTCCTTTTCTGACTCTCTCTCCTTTCCCCTGGTAGATGATTTACCAGAAAAAGGGTTCTGCATTCCAATAATGAGATATTGATCGAAGCATTAAATCTGCGTGACCAGTGATGTGATTATTAGAACAATAATGCAGAAGCTGTGAAGGTTTCATAAAGGCATGTAATGCGTCTTTATGAGTCTTTAAGGTCACATCTCTGCGGTGCTGCAGTCCACCAGCTGTTGATTGATTGGACTGGCAGAAACGGCAGGCATAGAGGTGCGTAAGGAAAGCTGTGCCACAAGGGCCCCATTCTATATCAAGACGTTTAATGTTTATTTTTATCTCAATGAAGAAGTCATTTAAAGTTTCACTTATAGTACTTCTGTACGTTACTACACTGAGAACAAAGTTCATACACCAAGTTCTATTTATGAATTTGTGGAAGTGATACTGTTCATTGGTACTCAATATTGCAACAAACATGTTCATGTACGGGCAGCACGGTGGCACGGTGGTTAGCACTGTTGCCGCACAGCAAGAAGGTCCTGAGTTCAATTCCACCATCAGGCCGGGGGCTTTCTGTGTGGAGTTTGCATGTTCTCCCCACGGGTTCTCTCTGAGTACTCCGGCTTCCTCCCACCGTCCAAAGACATGCAGCTTGTGGGGATAGGTTAATTGGATAATCCAAATTGCCACTAGGTGTGAATGTGCGAGTGAATGCGAGTGCGAATGGTTGTCTGTCCCTGTGTGTTGGCCCTGCAACAGACGGGCGACCTGTCCAGGGGGTACCCGGCCTCTCGCCCTATGACAGCTGGGATAGGCTCCAGCGCCCCCCGCGACCCTGAAAAAGGATAAGCGGAAGCGAATGGATGGGATGGATGTTCATGTACGATATCTATAATGCAGATGAAACTAAACTGTCGCCAGGTATATGGCAAGTAGCGTCACTAAGTTTTATCTATTCACATTTAATTCGTTCTCATGTAGCAATTACTGCATTTGCAGTAATTCACCCATATATCAATTTTTATGGCAGAGCACTAAACCAGTCTAATTATTAAAATGAGTGCCCTGTTTCAACTGCAAAGGACTGATGACTCTGCTTTATGCCTCAGTCACACTAGAGCAACAATAAGACAGCGACTTACTTGCAACTGGGGAGGTGGGGGTTCCATTAAATCTGTACATTCACCAACCAGTTGAAAGTAGCTGGTTACCCAGAAGCTGAGTGAGACACATCTATCAATGTGAATTAGGGGAAACGACTCAGCTATTGCCATTTGGTTAGCGTTTGGTTATATTCCTATAATAAAAGCAATGCTGCTGTGTCTGTCGTTTTGCAGTTACACTGCGTTCCTACAGCAACTACATAACTATCTTGTGTTTCTGTTTCAGATTCATGCGGTTCCGACTGGTTTCTGAATGTAAGCAGTTTGAATTTCTGTGTATGTAGACAACAACAGCCTTGCAATTTCACAAATTTATCACAGTTCATTGCTGTATTATCATAAAGACACTGCATTTAATAACCACTGACAGCAGACTGACTCCATCTTTTTTGCTTTTCCTTTGCCATTTTGAAACACTAAGCTGCTTTCAGAACAGTAACTGACTGCCGAGTGGTTGCAAACCAGACTGCTGTCTTCAAAGCAATTCTTTCAAAACATGAGAAGACTGTAAGTTCATTACACATGGATCTTGCTGTAGTCTCTAACAACTGTTTTACCTAGTGAGACTGTAGCATAAGATACAGAAGACACTATAAGCTGTAGATTACATAAGTATAATCTAAAATTGAAAGCTGTCATAGCACAAATGTTGAGATTTTGCAGCAAAAATGTAGAGCTCTAAAGTCCAAGGTTTCCTAAAGCTCACAAATATATGAAGGAGTTCTCTTACACAGTTTCTTGTTCCTTGAATAATAAATTTTTTCTCCCTGTGCGAGCCATGAGTTCTGCACTAGTCTTTATTAAAAAAAAGAGAAAAAAAGAAAAAAAGAAGAAGATATTTTCAAATGTTTTCATCTTTCCTTTCAATATAACCATGTTTACAAGTACTACTACTACTAAAAAGCTTAACATCATTTATTCAAAACTGTGGTAGAAAAAACTAAACCGCATAAATTTGCATTGTTATGCTAATCCTATGTGAAGAATATAATAATAATAATAATAATAATAATAATAATAATAATAATAATAATAATAATAATAATAATAATAATAATAATAAGGATAACAATAGTTGTAGATTTTTACTGTTATAATACCCTGTTGCCAGGCAAGGACAAAATTTAATAAATTGAACCTTGAATTGCCTGAACTCTGTTTTACCTTGGAGTTTGACTTTTCTAAAAGGTTGTATGAATAATGGACAAAACAATAAGCACCAAGTTTTTACACGTTGCATCCATATGTTGTAAAGAGAAGCTAGTATGTAGGGCTGGGCCATATCTACTGTTCACAGTAATACCGGTATAATGTTGGGCAACGATAAGAAAATGAAATATCGCAATAGAATATGGGTAAAAAGCGCATGCGCAGTGCCTTTGTTTTCATATGCACATGGTGGAAAAAGCATGGCGGCGATGGAGAATGAGAAGGGCGAAAGCGGATCGTTGAATGAAACGGAATATTTTTGGCCATATCATCCTGCTCTACTAGTATGGCAATATCAAGTTCCTGAAATATCACAGTTTCCACCGTAAGATTAAAAATGTTTTGTAAGCAGTAGTTATTATCACGGCAGTAAATGATAGCACTACCTTGCCAAACAAAAACACTAACTGGGCAGATGCTGTGAACAGCAACAGTTAACATGAGTGAACTGTCAAAGAGGCCCACCACCAAGCACTCAATTTGTAGAGAAACTGGGAAGTAAAACATTGTAGTCGACATCTGCAACAGCAGGAGAGTGAAAGCTGATTTCTGTAGAGGGTTAACAAGACTGAACCTAAATTACACTTGGCTTTAGCGTGCAATATGTAGCTGAGTATTAGGGCTGCTCGATTATGGCAAAAATGATAATCACGATTATATTCACTGAAATTGAGATCACGATTATTTGACGATATTTATTTAACCCTTTAAGACCTACTATAGAACCAAGTCCGCCAGAGCTTATATTATTTTTTTACATGCTGTAGTGCCATTTGTGGGAGCATTTCAAGTTGCTATACATCAATACAACTGTTATAGCCCATATTTTAATATTATGTATGCATTAAGTCCATAGTAATTACATAAATTGCAAAAAAGTGCAATAAACTACAAAAAAAATTGAAAATCGCTTTTGTTTTGTTTACATATATTTCTACTTGGAGAAATTTAAGAGGTTTATCCCTCAAAACTTTAAATACAATAAAGTTGCAAAAAATAGTCCCACCACAGGAAATTTATTTTGAGTGTCTTCATAGTTTTATTTTGGAGATACAGCAATTTTTATATACTGCAGGAAAAACAAAAAACAATCCTATGATGCAAATTTGCAAAGAAAACAGCATGTGCATCATTTCACTGTGGGAAGTGTTACAGCTGATCAGATCGGCAAAGCATGTTTCTGGAATACTATGTTTTTGTTCCTGCAAGCGCTTTTTATGCAATTTTTGCAAACCTTTATGTGGAACGAAACTGTGACCGAGGACAAGCTGATGGCATCAGATGTAAGTACAACTCCTCCGGTTTCATATGCAAAACAAATTATTGCGCTAGCTTACACGGTTCCGGTTCTACAGGGATTTAACAATAGCTACGCAAAACGGAGCATGCAGCTCTGACCGGCTTTAAAGGGTTAACAATGACTTTAAAAAAAATAATATAACATAGTGTGCAACACCACTGAAGTTTTTTTTTTTAAACTCTCTTTTCAACCAACGGCAGTCACTCTCCTCTCCAAATAACTCCTGCTTAGCTTTCCGAGCTTCCCTCGGGTCCTCTTAATCAGCGGTCTCCAACCTTTTTTGCGCCACGGACGGTTTATGCCCGACAATATTTTCACGGACCGGCCTTTAAGGTGTCGCGGATAAATGAGGGAGGGGCTAATAATCGGCTCAGTCATTTTTAATGATCGTTGAAAGCCCAGATCGTAATCGTGATTAAAATTCGATTAATTGAGCAGCCCTACTGAGTATCATAAGAAAAAAAAAAAGGTGTATTAATGTGAAATGCAGACATTGTGGGTGGCTCTCAACCAGGTGAAAACTGAGCATCTACAGCATGAAGCCATCAGGGAATGTTCCACTTCTACATTTCTACAACGTCTTACACAGCCTCACCTCAGCATGAGATTCATCAGCTGAAGCCCTTCACCTCTGAGAAAGCGGTCACGATTGGAGGGCAGCATGAGGCAGGAACACAGAGCGTCAAACAGGTTCTCCATCATCTCCTGCTCTTCAGCTGTGGACGGGTTGTGACGCTTGAACACCTGGAGAAGGTAAGCGGGAGAACAAAGGAAGCATTTTGAAAAGGATACATAGTATGCACATTTCTTTTTTTCTTTTATTTATTTTTTACATTTCTAACAATTGACCACGGATCTGGAGAAGCTCATATTAGAGAAATACTAAAGCTTCACCTGTGTATGCCTCTCAAAGGGCTGTTGGGAAAATATGAAGGGTAGTGCACAGAAGAAACTAAAAATAGAAGGAAAAAAAAAAAAAAGCAAAAATCTTACAGATAGTTGCTGCAGTAACACATCAATGCCATCCATCTCACCCAGTAGTTCTCTGGTATCTGTGAAGGAGAAAAATAAAAAGGAAAGACAGCAGGGAGATCATGTCGTGATGGTGGCAAAAAAAGACATTTAGTGAGCAGCGGGGAGGACAGAAAGCAGGAAAAAGAATGTTTAAGTGGACAGAGAAAGAGGAAAACGAGAGAAATGGGGGGGCGACAGAAGTGCTTCAGAGGGATAAATACTGAGGATCACAACTGCTACGAGGGACCTCCAGAGAGTCAGCAAATGAGGAAAAATGAGGGCATTGACAAATACACATCCTCACAAGTTATTCCATGTAGACCTGAGCATTACACAACACACCTCTGCTTCTCAACAGACCCAACTGGCACACACTCACACGTCCTATAAATTGACATTAGAAAGTGGCACACACAACACTAATAATATTATGTGCTATGACTTTTTCCCTCTTTACCTTTCTTTGCTCGCTTTACAATAAACAGCTGAATGAGCTGGAGAACATGATCAATTTTCATGCTATTTATGGACTGGGATGGGATGCTGAATTTTAAAATGCACTCTTTCAGAGTCCAGTTTTAAATCCAATTCAACATTAAAATTAGCACATCAAGGCTCTTTCCAAACTGGCATTTTCTTAGCAGCTGTATGATTTGCCTTACTCTTACTTCAAATAAGGTACATGCACAATGAGAACGAGAAACATTAAAAGGTAACATGAAGTCATAAAGTGGTAGAAGGAAAAAGAAAGGGAGAGAAAAGAAAAGGTAACACTGAGGAAAAATATGTAGGGAGGGAAAAGGGAGCACGGAAAGGGCACAATAAGATAAGGCTGCGACAGACCATGACTAAGCCTAAACCCGCAGAAAAAAGGAATGAAAAGAATGGAAATAGGTTGGCAAAAATATGAAAGATAAACTAATATCATTTGGAATCCACAAACCATTTAGTGAGACACACTTACTGTCATTGTTCTGCAGCAAGATGGCCAGGATTTCACTGCAGTAAAGCTTGTTAGCATCAAAAGGCATCTTTGCCTTAGAGGGAGAGGGAAAGAGACCAAAATCTAATTACTACTCATCTTGAGAAGCTGTGCTTAGTTTTCGGGTGGAGGCTTGTGGTTTTCATGAGAATTTGGAAATCAAAACATATTTTACAACAAACTTGTTTCTTTCTTTCTTTAAACTGAAATTCTTGCTTGTATTTTCTGGTTTACAGAAACTCCAAATACAAAAAATTAAAAAAAAAAAAGAAAAAAGAAAACCTCCACCAAGGCAGCTCACTCTCTGGACAGTATTTGTATTACATTTCGTATATATTCATTTTGTTTTCTTTGTTCTTTTTAAACCTACTTTAAGAAGTTTGTAGTAAAAAGGGTAGCATGACACATGTTAGCTTTACACAAACATTTTGTAGGAGTAGGTAATGATAACAGGCATTGATTTGTAAATAACTGGACATGAATAACTTCAGCTTATTATATATTATATAATATTTTCCTACAGTACATTTCTAACTAACTCTGGAGCTCATTCTCTTTCTCTTGACACGCTCTTTAAAGATATGCAATATTTTGAGGTCAACTTGAAAGAAAGGCAGATGTGAAATTTAAAAGTGATAATAATCTCCAAACTCTTTTACGCTACGTCCACACTTAAACGAGTATTTTTGAAAACGCAGCTGTTTCTATGCGTTTGGACCTTTTGTCCAAACGTAAACGGCGTTTCGAATCACCGAAAACGGAGATTTGTTTTTTAAAAACGCCGGTTTTTTGCGTTTCCGTGTGGACGAGGAATACACAGTTTGTCACACAACGTCAAAGGTATGTGCCTTTTTTCACGTCACGCTGCGCGCCACGTTATTGTTTACATGAGATGAATTGCAGATAGAGACAAAATACTGTTAATCTGACTATCTGCAGGTTTTACACGCTTACATACACACGCAGTTACTGTCCCTCCATTTACAAAGGCAGAAGCGTCACGGTGTGATTATTTTATGTGTAGTTGTTTTTTTCTGTGCAATAATATTCAACATTGCTATCAATACATTTTTCAAAAAAATGCCTCTCTGTGCAAAATGGGTTCAAAAACATAAACAGCTGTGGGATACTGTTTGTCCGGGATTTCGACAGGGGGAACAAATCGTGGCAGAACCAGCCTGATATTATTTGTATCCCGCTGTAACTTTACTGTATGAAGAGCTAACAGCTCCAAAATGTCAGGAGTAGTTAGTCATTACAACAAGTGTTTGTGAACTAAAAATCAAGAATGTGAGATTCTGTTTGTCCGTGATTTGGAGAGCCCAGCGCTGCTCCCGACGCAGGGGAAACTAATTCTGTCGCAGAGACCTACCTCTGCACTTGTGCAGGTGAAGCCAAAGGGAAGACATGCTTCACCATATTTTCTAGTATTTGGCTTAGAATGAAGTTGGTTTGGAAACATATTCAGCGATGCTTCATCTCCTGCTTTGCGTTTGTGTGGGCGCCCCGTCAAAAACCTGTCCATTATGCTAGCAGTGTCCAAGCGTTCTTTTTATTTTTCTTTTCATACCGCGCGCCCCCTGCAATGGCTCAGCACCCCCCCTAGGGGGCGGGCCCCACACTTTGGTAGATCATTCCCTATATGCCTATATGTCATCAAAACAAACAATAGAAGAAATATAGTTTTAAAATAGCTCTATACTTTGGATTATTATCACTTTCACCTTCAGATCAATCAACTGACCCTGAAGGAGAGGTCAGAGGTCATATGTGACATTATTTTATAATGTACTTTCTGCGTCTTCACAATACACACCACACTCCGACAAATAATTAAGTTGACCTCAAAGACCTTGGTGGATCTAAGCCTAATTTTAACAGATTGTTAACATGAGCTCACTCTACACCCACGACAATTTCTATGAGAATTAATTCAAACACCTTTAGGAGCAAGATAGCTTAACACTACGTGAAGGTCTTAAAGTGAAGGGAACTAAAGGCAAATGCTAATTCAACATCAAAATACTGGTAAAAAAAAAACTCCATAACACAGAAGTCACGACATATTTTATCCTCAAAATATTTTGTTTTAGCTTGGGTCTAAAAATCGAGAAGGACGCTGAAAACTCTGGATTAGTTTTTGATATTTGCTTAAGAACATGATGATGACATTTAATGCGATATGTATTTGTAAAGGCTCAACATCTTGCAACAACAAATAATCATTAAAAAGAAATGTATTAATCCAGATTGATTCCACCGTTACAAACTTCTAAGTTGGCCTTCTGGTGGGAAAAATTTAAAAAATGAATCAAATCCTGCTAACAAACCAATCACGTAGCCTTCTTGGGGCAACTTAAAACAATATTCCTGTTCTTACCTTGATTCTCTTGAGCAGCCACTGCATCAGTCCCTGCTGGGCAGCCTCTGTGCACATGCCTGGTCTGAACTCTGCCATGTTCTCAATGATGGCTGCAACACACAACACCATAGTTCAGTCTTTACTGTTAATATCAGCCCTTCATTCTAAGTAAGTTTCTAAAAGGATTTCTGATAGACATCAAAATCTGCCAGACTGATATCAAAACCAATGCCAATCTTATTTAATGGATTAAGAATTGCCCGGATGTGACTAATCCACTTTCTGCCTAATTATAGAAGCATGTCTTAATATTTATGTTTAATCTGTGTTGCTCTGGGTTCCTTTGTGTGCAATGTCGTTTTATTTCTAAGCCTAATATCAAAATCAACTCCTACTCAAAATCATTCTCTGACTTTACAACATGGTGCAGTTTTATAGAGGGTTAATCTGTTTTCTGTCCCAGCTTCTTCCTTAATGTTATCATCAGAAAGACTTGATGTCTCCATCACAGTAGACTAAGTGCAGAGGGGGTTGAAGGGAGCAAAAGACATTGTGGGGTGTTCATGACAACAGGGGGAAAGAGGAAGATTAACAGGAAGGAGGCAGAGGAAAAGCAGAAGGGAGGGAAAAGGGGACGGGAAGACAGTGTCAGGGATGAGGGATGGAAAACAGAGTGAATGAGGAGATAACAAGATGACAAAGGGAAGAGAGTTTTGCAAGAGCATAAAAACTGAAATAAAGCAAAAACATCTGGAGAGAACAGCTGCAGATGACAGGGAAATGATTGAAAGAGTGAAACAGGGGATGAAGTGACAGGGTGCTGAGGGAGAGATGAGCCTTTATCAGTGATTCAAACAGAGCAGAAAGACAGCATCCTGGAGGACAGCCGGCTCAGAGTAGAGAGCAGCCAAGGTAGACAAAAGGCTTATTCAAGCTTGGAGAGCTCCCTTGATAACTCGCACACACAAACTTGAGCAGAGGATGCACAAGCACTGCCCCCACGATATAACCCTCATACACAGAGCCAAATACACACACCTAAACAGCCCTCTTGACACTCGGCCTCAATCTGGCAACAAAGAGGAAAAAAATCGTCTCAGTAGACTCATTCTACACAAAAAGAGCTGAGAGGTAGAAAAGTCTGATTCATGTGGGGCTAAATACAGAGACCAGGACTTTTCAAACTATCTGCTGGCCCATGCCCTCTCCAGGACCTTGTGTATACAATTATTACTCCCCAGAAACTCTTATGACTTTTATGGTAGGCTCTGAAAAGGTATAAAACCTCCAAAGAGTTGATGCTAGAGACATTGACAGCTTCCTTTCACTGTCACTGAAAATTTCTAGGGCAGCTGGCAACAGGGGGACACACTGCTAGCAGAATACAAATAAAGTTAGTCTATAGCCTCTATGATGTATACCCAAGTCTGCAAGGACTTCCTGTCACCGCACTGCCCAAAGACTTAACCCTGGCTCATACACACCTTACAGGCACACCTCCCTCTCGAAACACTTGCCAAGTTTCAGTTCTAAAAAGAAGGCACGCTTTGCCAATTATTCTTGCTCAAAATATTCAAATCTTGCTGAGGTGCTATTTTTAACCAAGTCTGTTTTTATAGTGTTGAATTTAGGACCAGACTCTCTGCAGCACCTGAGATAGGACACCAAATAGGAGTCTCCCTTGTTTTGCATATGAACAACTCTGCATTTAGGGTGGCGTCCAGTGTTTATTGCTTTATGCTGCTCACTTGGAACTTGGTATAAATTGTAGCCCTTATTACGTGTTACATGAGCAACTTAAATATTTACTGATTTCTGAAGTTCACGGAAAAAACTGAACACAAGCATTACAGCAAACACATTAAAAAGAAAAAAAACAAAAGAGGTTTTTCTTCAGCATAACATGCCCCCTAAAAATTAATTAAGGTTACTAAATGTAGGGGAAAAAAATAGGTCACCGAAATACAAAAATAATAAAAACTACATTTTAAGGGGGGGGGGAAAGAACTAAGATTTTATTTGCTTACAAACTACAAATGTGCAGTGAATGTCTTTAGCTTTAGTTTTAAGACTGCTAGCCTGAGGAGGCTTTAGTGCATCCATTTATTGAAGATCCAGATATCTACATGCATTATGGACAAAGGTGTTGGACCACAATTCAGGTGTTTTCAGTCCCATTGCCTCAGGATTATATAATAAGAAAATAAATATATACAAAAACTCAAGCGCCTAGCTGTTCAGTCTGGCTTTACAGCATTTGTGAAAGATTGGGTCATTCTAAAGAGCTCACAGGTCATGGGTCTGTGATAGCATGCCACCGCTACAATACGTCAGTTTGTGAAATTTCTTCCCTCCTAGATATTCAACAAGCAGCTGTAAGTGTTGTTACTGCAACTAAAGAGCAGACCAAATAAAGTTATTAGGCAGGATCTCTGAGTGTTAAAGCACACAGTTACTGTGCAACATGAGTATAAATATCTATAAATATAAGAGTTGTTTGCCGTATAATACTAGTATTTTAGAAAATAACCGGAACATTTTTGTTTCTATTTTATTCTGATAAAATCAGAAAGTAGAAAAATGCTGCAGCATCAACTCTGCAAAGGGTCACATAATTAGTGCAGTCACAGAATTAGAACGAATAAAACATGTGGTGGGTGGAAAAAATGTATCTATAAACAAATAATAAATATAACAAATAAGAACCTGCTGACTCATCGAAATATGTACAAGGTCAATCCCAAAAGTAACATCTCCAAAGCAGTGGGGAAACTGTTTGTACGGCTGTTTGCCACACTGTTGTGGTTGGTGCTTTCTCCACTCCGAAACAAGCATGCACGACTTCGCTGGGATTCTCAATCTTGGCTTGGCAGCCCTTGAAAATGGAGCTCCCGTTGAACGCTACCGCCAAGTGTGAGGTTCGCGCAGTTATTCCACTTTTGAACGCAAAAGGCATTAAACCGGTTGAAATTCAACGCTAACTGACGAAAGTGTACGGACAGCCGTGCATGGATGTCAAAAACGTTCACAAGTGGTCTAGTGACTACCACCTGTTCCCTAAATTGAAAGAACATTTGTCCCGTAGACGATTCTGCTCCGATGAAGAAGTGACAGATTCAACGCTTCCTGAAGGACATGGCGGCGAGCTGGTATGACACGGGCCTTCTAAAACTGCCGCAGCGTCTACAAAAAATGCATCCACCAAAAAGGTGAAAATTATTTTTTAACCTTTAAAATGATGTAAATATTATAGAAAATAAACAGTTGTTTGTATTTCTAAAAAAACGGGAGACCTTACTTTTGGGATTGCCCTCGTAGTTGTTAATACCAAAGTGCCAAAATTTGATAACTTCAAGCATTCAAGCAACACAGAAATAAAAAAAAAAAAGCTCATATGAGACTACTGAGGAGTACTTGAATTACTTGAATTCACTCCACTGAAAAACAGGACAGAAACAGACTGTTTAAAAAAAATAAACAATTCCAATTTTTATTCCTGCCACCTGGTTTGTTTGGGCAGTTTCACTTGTCTACTATTCCACTCAATCCATGATGAACGTTTGACTGCTTCATGCCAAAACATCAACTGACTGCTTGATTTATTTTACATATATGTTGGACAGATGAGAACAACATGACTTTAGCTGTATTTCAGTCCTATTTCAGGTGGTAGCGCTGTAGTTTCAGACATTACCTGACTGAGGAAATCAAAGTTACATTCATGTTATTTCCACAGCTGAAAAAGCACCGTGTATAGTCCTTTAAACCATTATTCAATGTCATTTTAGCCAAAGTGGACAAAACCTTTTTTCAAGCATAAAGTATAGAATTAGCTGACAAACACATTATTACATGTAGCCTTGTTTAACTGTAAATCCATGTTTTGTTTTGTTTATGTTTTTTCTTCCTGAGTGTGATGACAGTTTACTTGAGGACAACTAGAAATTGGAGTTTCATTGCTAAGATTTTGGATTATGTCTCCTTACCGAGGGTGTTATAGATTCCATCAGCCTCCTCCTTCACCTGCTCGTCCAGACGCTCCATATTCTGCACCAGCAGGGCAACCACCTGACCCTCCAACTACAGGCACACAAAGATGAAATTCAAGTCACGGTTCTAAAACAATTTTGCCAAAGGTCATATACAACTTTATCAGACTTTTGGAGAAACAATTTTTCATCTTTTAAAGGTTTTGGTGAAAGGTAACATAGCAGAGACAATATTTTTTCATGTTCTAGAAACACTCCCACCCTTGCACTTTGTTGGAGGTCTGTCAGATGATTGTGTCTACCCTGTCTGAAAACAAAATTACAGTCTCCATCTCAAAAAAAAAAAAGAAGAGAAAAGATGTATATAGACTATCCAGGGATAACAGAGAGATGGTTCACTTTTAAGACTTGTCTTTGCAGAAGACGCTTGCTTCCTGTTGGAGCCTCTCTGACGATGTCCGAATGTTATCAGTCAAGTCAAGATTGGAGACTCATAACCACACAAAGCTTGCAAGGTGCCAGCGGGCTGGATAAATGTACTCTTATAGATGAAAGAAGACAGTCAACACAGATTTATGAGCCACTGGAGACCACCGTGGATCATTTTGATTTATCTTACCAAGGATGCCACCTGGCCTTCAGGCAGCAAGGACAGAGGAGCCGAGGGCATTACAGCAAAGAGGACAGACAAATGGATTCAACCAACCTTTGCTGCCCTGAAACTGTTTCCCTTGGAAGTAGCTGTAAAGAAGAGTGAGGTTTATGGGCGCTCCATTGCATGGTAAATGGACTGCATTTATAAAATTCCTTCATTCTGCGAGCCCTGCACAGCTACCGGAGTCACTATCATATAAGAAGCCAGCTCACAAACACACACAAAAGCCAGTTTTGTCAGCAATTTCTGATGTTTATCCTGCTTCATCTACAGTTCTTCCTATCACACACCAATATAACTAAGATAGAGGCCTCGGATATGTGTTCTTAACTTGACTGTGTCAGTTATTTAGAACACAAACAGTATTTCAACATATTATACTTACACAGAAAGTAACATTAATATTCTGTTCTGTGTTTGTAAGACCATTTCAGAGAAAGACCCCATGGGCATTGGGCAACACCACAGAAACCATCTATACATCCAAACATTCAATAAAATGAATACATTTCATTAATTATTTACAGTGGCACATGCTATTAAGGAGAGGTAGGGAGATGAGCTGAGGAATTTGACAACTACACGACAGCGTTAGGCCAAAGGAAGGCAGTTCTTGTGAGGTATTGTGGTATGCAGTCGCCATTATGTCTACAGGAAGGACAACAAGCCCAAGGCTTACTATACAGACCAACAGCACAATAACACAACTGCTGAAAACCTTAATGAGGGCCACAACTGACAAATGTGCAAACCATTCATTGCTGCTTGCTACATAAAGAGCTGCGCCTGCTGGTGACATTGCACACTAGAAATTCGTGTCTACCTCTTAATGTGCCTGCAAAGAGGAAGGTTAGCATGAGAACCAGAAAACAGAGCAGGTTGGTGTGGTCCAATGAAACAGGTTCTTTCAGGGATGTCAATCAGGAGGTCTGGGTCCCAGAATCGGTCCAGGAAAGACTCCCATCCAACCCACTCAGACAACTTTGGAAAATTTTAGCTTTAAAGTTTTTTGTGCAGATAAAGACCTCCACCATGGCCACTAATACTATGCCAAAGTAATTAAGTAATAGATAAACAAAAATAAATGGCAAAAGTTCCTGGTTTTTTTCCACTATCTACTGTATAATTGTTTTGTTTAAATATATCACAGTGAAAGAAAATTTTGTGTGAATTAACAGAAACCATCTGTTTTATAATCACAGGACAATTTGAGCTGAGCTACCAGAACCTAATCTGTCATTTTTCTGAAATTACACAATTTTTTACATTTTGAGCCCAAAGAGTTCTTCTGACAGATTTCTTCATTTACTACAGCAACATACTGTTACAAATACACTTCCATTCATATAATTAGATATCGCAGGGATTAAATGTGCAGTTAAACACAGATAGAAAGAGGATTTTCACTGGTCCGGCTTATGTGATATCCCCACATTCTGCTGCTGGTACTGTGTTTACTGGGCTTGCAACATGCATTAAAGGAAGAAGCTGAGCCAATGAAGGTACTTTAATATTATGAGTAATGTTCTGCAGTGATCTCATTGAATAGAACAGGATGATGCTACCAACTATACTGCAGAAATTGTTCAAAGAGCACGACCAAAGATCCATGGTGCTGGTTTCACCTATAAAATCCAATCTACCATCTATAGAAAGTGTTAAAAATCCACAGAGGTCATCCCTCCATCCAACTATCCTTTTCGGCTTATTCCGGGGCCAGGTCTGTGGAGGCAGCAGCCCAAGCAGAGAAGCCAGAACTCCCTCTCACCCAGTCACCCCCTTCCGCATGCCGGGGGACACCAAGCGTTCCCAGGCCAGCCGAGAGATATAATCTCTCCAGCGTGTCCTGGGTCTGCCCCGGGGCCTCCTCCCGGTGGGACATGCCGGAACACCTCGACCCAGGAGGCGCAGGCATCCTTGTCAGATGCCGAACCACCTCAACTGGCTCCTTTCGATGTGAAGAGAGCAGCTGGCTCTACTCTGAATGCCCTTCCCGGATGGCCGAACTTCTCACCCTTATCTCTAAGGAGAGAGGCCAGCCACCCTTCGAGGAAGCTCATTTCGCCAGCTTGTATCCGCGATCTGTTCTTTCGGTCACTACCCAAGCTCGTGACCATAGGTGAGGGTAGGGACGTAGATCAACCAGTAAATTGAGAGCTTTGCTTTCACACTCAGCTCTCTCTTCACCACAACACACTGGCACAGCGTCTATCAATCTCCTGCTCCCTTCTCCTGTCACTTTTTAAGTCCATACCAGGTAAATGAATAAACTTGAATTAGCTAACATAGATACTTAAAAAAAAACAACAACAATAACAACACAGGTCTGGTGTTAGCATCTTGTTCACATCAGAAACAGTGCTATCCTCGTGAAGTTGCACTGAATTTATCAGTATGTACAAAATGCCACGCGGACGTGTAAAATATTGAGATCAAACTACTCAAAAACTCCCAAGACTCCCAACCAAAGTTGTCAAGTGTAGCAGAGGAAAAAAGTCAACTGATTCTCTTATGAAGTGTCACAGTGACAGGTGTGAAGAAACACAGGCATGCATTTCTTTTCTCCATCATGGCTTTACCCGCATATTATTGTAATTTGACCTTTGTCTGTGTCGATCTAAATGTCAAAAAACATAATGGGCTATCAAGAATCACGACACTCTAATATTTATGAAAGCCCGGCAGCACGACAGGCTGAACTAGAAAAGAAAAAAAAAAGGAACGAGGGGGCTAAATATACAGAAATGGAGAGACAGGGAGAGATCATCAACGGTGAAGTGATGCCAACACACACAGCCGGAGGGTGACAAAGAAAACAGAACGGAAAAAGAAAGAGTGGGAGAGTCGATGCTATAATTATGCTGATCAAACTACATACTGAAATCCATTTTTTCCTCTTGACTGAGTTCTTGTCATGTTGCTAATCCCATCATGTTTTTTTAACTGTCACAGCTCACCGCTGAGAGATAATTAAAAAGACTTTAAATAAATAAATCAACAGGTAACTTCAGACATTTGTGCCCCTGTAAATGACACTGGCAGCTTTACTAAGAACTAATGTTTGTGGATTTGTTTCCCCTTTGAAGTTATTTTAATACAACACTTTTTATTAGAATTATTTTAATTTAATGTAATTTGTGTTTCAAACCACACACAAAGAAGACAAAACCAAAAACCATGAATGCTTCTAAGTGAGACTAAACTGAAACTTTGCTTTTGATTCATTAACAAAGACTAAGCAATCAATTTCTCTCCACCAGAGCCAAGAAGCTTAAATACTAACTCCAAACAGTGCTGCTTCATCAATATCATCAGAGACTCATGAAACTTTTGTACTCACCAGAGCATCTATGAGTACCTCAGCACCATCCTCGCTCTCATGAAGTGTGTCAATATCTGTCAGCTCCTGCAGCAGGTCCACCACGGCTATGGCGACATGTGGCTCAGGCTCAGGCCAATAACAATACTCCATACTTGATTTAACTCTGCAATCCTATAATACTGTAGAAGTAAAATCAATGCTTTCTCTTTTCCTCTAAAAGCCAGGCGACTACTTTACCCACAATGCAAATTCATCACCCAGTTTGGTCTATATTTTTGGTTTGTTGCTGGGAGATGCATCTTGAGTACCAGTGCCTTCACTGAAGGTATTTTAATGGCTACAGTAATATTTATTTTGTGTATTTTTAAGGGTTTATGCATTTACTCCAATATGGTTTTGAATCTGAAATATGACTCACTTAGTAGATTGTATTTTGTTACAGTTTAAAGTTTATAGTAAAAAAAACAACAACAACAACAAAAACAAGCTTTGTGTGCAACAAATTCAATAAAAAGTTGACACATCTTTACTCTCTTAGCTCACATTCATTGTTCTTATCCTGTCCTTGGTTCTTTGTACTAGCTACGTTTACAACAGTAAACTTCTATGATACAGGGAACAAGTTTAAAGACCAATGTTATGTAACAAAACGTTCAATAGAGAGAGGTGATCTGAATCAATCTCAACGTGAAAGGATATCAGTATTTTCATGACTGAGGAGGCCCAGTAGTGAGTGGACGGCGTTCAGCTCCACCAGCAGGTGGTAGAGATCTGGCATCGTAGCAATCACATGCATTTCCTGGATAATGTCATTCAGATCAAGCTCCGACTCCATGAACCTAGTTTAATAACACAAATCAGAAGTTTTGCATTATAAGTTTGATCATAATGACAGTGTTTCTTAGAAATGCTGAGACCCTCTTTTTCCTTTAGATCCAATGAAGTCCACATATAGTTTTGTTTGTTGGAATAAAGTCAAACAAGACTTTATTAATCTGTCTGTAATAGGCTTACTTTTCTGGATTGTCTGGAAACTTAATCCTTAGTTCCTGGTTTTTGTATGACCTCTTCTCAAAGGTCAGGATCATTTTCTTCACTGAGCTCTCATCGACCAGTTCTGCCTGTTTGATTAGCACAGGAGACAGGGGAAAGGGAGCAAAAAGATGGAGAAGGGAAGACGGGGAGAAAAAGGGAAAAATAAAATTATTAAAGCAACTGCTGCCATAACAACAAAGAGACTGTAGGGTCACCTTAATCATGTGATTGAAGCAAATTGTGCAGACATTTTGTTCAATCAGAAGGAATGCATCTGAGTGAAAAGAGAATGTGTTTGACCTCCTGATGGATTATAAACCTCCGCAGTGCTGGACAGATAACAATGTAGAATAAAACAACCTTTCCTGGAACTTATTTTTATGCTGTTTCACCATGTTAGGTGTTTCAGTAATTCAAGTCTCACTCTCTCCAAGTTTCTTGAAAGATCCGAGATTAACTGGGTGATTCAGGACAGCAGATCCTGGTTATAGTAATTTAGTTTTGCTTGGTTTCTCAAAGCCATAAGAGCATTAGACCCTGCAGACTGACTGCACACCCCCTGTGGTCACTGAATATGGGACCAGCAATACTGGCAAGACTGGCAACTTTGTGATTGGAGGATTGATGTATGGGAAGTTTGAACCCCAGTGGAGCAAGAGGACCTCTCAAAGAGCTTTCAGGAATAAACCATTTTGCAATTCCTTTTTTTAAAAGCAGAAACCTGGATAGAAATCAACCAGAAAGATTAATGAACAATACGAAACTGAAAGGGAAATTTGGGCAGGGAAACCAGTGGGGAATCACAGAAAACTATGAAAAAGGAAAGTGAAAAGTGGCTATAAAAACCTTTGTGTGCCCACTACAATAATCATCTGACAGTTTATATCATTTATTGCTTATTATTCTAAGCTGGTACTGCAGACTAAGCAGCTTGGAACAAAAATAAAAAATACAAAGACACTTTATAAATGGACGTTTACTTTTGTTTTTTTAATTAACCGACTTTAACAGGTCACAGAACAATAAACAGACATGACCGCAGTGGCCAAGTCTCGTTTAATGGCGTGACTTTAAATGATGTAAAAAGAGGGATCTCTTAATCAGACCCAAAGGCAGGATGCAGCAGTAGTGAAGAGGAGAATTTGAGTTAGTGGCAGCACCATCAAATCTCACATTTGTCTTCAACAAAGGAGTGTGAATTATTTCCTCCTGACTAAAGCAGAGATTGCCTAAAAGAAATTAGTCAGCTTTGTCATTTAACACTGTATTCCATTTGAATTAAATTGCTCTTTTATATTATCAATGCACCATTCACAAAGAATGCCAATGCATTTAAGTCTGTTGTTTGTGTTGTTTACAGGAAACAAACACGCTCTTGAGTAAGTCTGACTTAATAGATGTGCTCCCACGTGTTAAAGAAACTGAACTTTTGTCTATTTAATGTTGTCAATCTTAATCTGTTCTAACTACTCCACCGACACAGATGTCACAGGTAGTTACATTTAGACACAATGCATGCAGAGTATACCAACAAATAACATCTAATAAGTCTGATTCGGTATAAATCTGGCTGAAACATTTTTAATCATAGCATGTTTGTGTTTGTTTTAGTAGCGTTTGTGTAAATCTATCTGAATTTGCTAATATGGCTTATGTCCTGATGAAGCATGCTAGTATGGTGAGAGCTGTTTAAAGATTGCCATGCAAACTATGAACTCAAAACATATGAGAATAAAGGAACATGTTTAATTTTCATGATCTTTGTCACATTTCTTCATTTTTCATCACCCAAAGAAACCAGAGTAACAACTCTATAATAATAACATAACAATTACAATAACCCACCTCGGGTTCTTCTGCATCCTGGTCCATCAGCTTTTCCAGGATTATCTTCTTGTCCCCTATGAGCTCCTCAGTCTCCCTCATCTCAGCACCTCCTTCTGCTCCTGCCACCTCCCTGTATCTGGCCAGCTCTCTAGCACTCATCCCTTTCAGCTGCTTCCCTCCTCTGGAGTCTTCATCTCCTCCTGCTCCTCCATCCTCTTCGCCCCTGGGACGCTTTGCTCCCCTATCAGGCTGCAACAAGAAAAGGGATCATTAAATGTGTGTACAGGGATTTACTCTATAAGATGAATATACGAAAAAGTGTTGGGAGAGCCCAAAATTATGTGGTTGCTTGTTTTCAGCAAGGTGGCATTTAATGAGATTAAAAACAATCAATGAAATACACCATTATAGCACCTGACTAGGTCATATCTGGCAACTATAGAAAAATCAATCTAGAAATACTCAATCATGGCTTTTCAAATGAATTTTAAAAAAGAAGCACATATAATTTTATCAAGTTAATCGAAGCAGCTGTCAAACAACTAATCTAAGAAAACTGATGGCATTTTAAAAAAGTTGCAACTAAACAGTGAGCCTAAGTAAAAGACGAGATTTTACTGAAATACAGATTTATGAAATGGGACATATAATGGCGATTTGCATATTTGATGCAAATACTGGGTGAAGTCGATTTCTCGTACGTATGCCTTGTATGATAAACGAAACTGTTCAGGTACACATTTGTTTCGACATTAACATATAAAAGACCGAATCTAACTGACGAAAGAATGCCAAAGATTCAAGATGCTTTGTTAGGCATAACTAGTTTTAAACAGATGTATCTCAGGGAAGTCCGCAAAGTTTCCCCGCTCTTGATGTGCTGCTGCGAGATAGCTAACAGACTTAGCAAACGGGCTAACTGCTAGCGTTAGTAAACACGGACTTGAGATCCAAAGTTGTTTTCTTTTCGCGCAAGCGTCACTCAGTTCTAATTGACTGATCATTAAACAAGGACGCAAACAAAGGAGGCTAAATAAAAGTCTACATGCTCACACACATTAAACTGTTAGCGTTTATTTACAACCCAATGAATGAGATAAGTTACTGTTAGCTTAGTTAGCTCTCACACACATTATCAGGAGTGAAACGTCTACCTGATAGTTCAGGAGCTCTCCGACGTCCATTTGTCCAGGATACAAGTCTCAGCTTTCTTATAATTTTATTTCAAAGTTGAAAAGGCGCTCTCACAGTTTAAGTAGACAGCTATTCCGCTAACTACAAGCTCCCTGCATACACATGCCTGCCGTAAAACAGTCTTCACTCATTGCCGTAGCAACGAATTGTCGTAAACGTTGACGTTGCATGAGCAGAGTTTTCAACCATCTTCGTAAAGTGTCGGAGCGATTATTTGGACAGGGATTTTGATTATTTTCAAAGTTACTATCATCGTTACATCATCATCCTTGCTGTTGCTGAATTCTCCCGTTGACTGGACTTCCATGTCTCTCCGTGCCTGTAGTGAACAATTGTACTAGGATTATTTGTATTCCGTTGTATCTGTGTTATTCATTTTCTCATAAGTGATTTAACCAAACTTGCAAATATAACTTAATTTGCTTAACAGTACAGCGGACAAACACTATTATAGACAACAATAATATTAAGAAATACTTTATTTTCCCCATATTTTTGAAATTCCAAGCAACGGTAAAGAAATACATAATATTTCTAAATCAGTAATAAAGGGGAAAAACCACCTTAAATATCAATAAAATGTTCAAATGAAAAAGCAGATCACTGTATGTCAGATATCTGAATTGCATTATAAAAAGTTGTTGCATCTTGTATGAAAGATTTCCTGTATCTGTTCTTGTGGCAGCGGAGCTGAATCAGTCTGTTGGCGGAAATTGTAAGCGGTGATGAAGTTGATCAGGGTTATGAATGACTGAAAATAGTTTTTTCAGTGATCACTTTTTAAATGTGTCCAGTTTGCAGCCAGTCACAGAGCCAACAGCGCACACCACAACCACCACAACTGGCTGATTAAAAATCTCCATCATTTTCTATCGGGAAGGTCTCAGCGTCCATAGGACATTGTTGTCTTGTATACAGCCTCTGTGTGGGTTTTCGAGGTCTGTGGTTAATCTGGACATCCAGGTACTTATATTCATCCACAATATCCACTCCCTCTCACTCTTTCTTACTCATGTTCAGAAGCAGATTATTTCTCCAAGACCATGCCACAAAATCATTCACTAGTGCTCTATACTCCTCCTTCTGCCCATGACTAATACATCCAATCACTCCAGTCACATGTGGTGGTCAACAGTTCTCAAGCTCTGATAATGTCGGCTTCTACTTCAACGCCAGTATCATATGCTGCCTTATACGTGAGCTGTAAATTTGACTCAGGTTAACAGACACGGGTCTGAAGAAACTTGGGGCTGATACCATCAGAGTTGGAGAAGTTAAAAGTATGGTTACTTTTAGGGCCCCTCCCCCTGCCCAAAAAGAATTCTGCAAATCAATGGCAGTGCTTGAAAGTTAGATCCTCTAAACAAGCAGTAACGGGAACACATTGATTGTATGTTATCATACAATTATAATTGTATGTTATAACACAATACAATAAATGAATTCATTATTATCAGGGTGTCCTAAAAAGTGACTACAAAGCTTCAGTTGATCCTAAATGCTACAGCAAGATTAAAGAGTCTTGCGTCATCAGGCCCTATCTTATCTTAAAGGCCTCATAATACCATTTCACACCAATAGAACATTTCTGGAGCTGGAGGCTTCTTATGATGTGCTGAGTGTTACTTCTTCACTCATCTCTTTTTACTCTCCATGTGTTTATATATTTATTTCAGTTACGTAGTTATTGATCATCTCTGGCTGTTTCTACACAGTGTGTCTTTTGTCCTGTCTCCCTCCCCTCACGTCCAGGTGGTTGCAGCAGATGGCTACCTCCCCCCTGAGCCTGTTTCTCCCAGAGGTTTTTTCCTGTTAAAAGGGAGTTTTTCCCTCCTACTGTCGCCAAGTGTTTGCTCATAGGTGGTCATTTGATTGTTGGGGGTTTCTCTCAATGATTGTAGGGTTTGCATAATAAAGAATCCCGAGGTGGGTGATTTAGTGCAATATAAATAAAATTAATTTGAAGTTGGATACAACATTCTAGAATATGCATTTAAAACATTAAACCTACATTTTTTTCATTTTTGTGGTTATGTCATTGTTCTGGTTTAGCAGAATATGTGTACATATGGATGCATTATTAATAAGCTACTTCATCCACCACTGATAATACATCTTGACAAAAATATGTTTCCCCTCCCAACAAAATCCTTTGGGCTCTGTTGCCAATGCTGAAATAAGCCCACTTAATAATACAACTAAATTACACATGACTGTTACCTCATCAGACCTCACAACATTGAATCCTGGTCTTATAGGCTCAATTTTGGTGCATTCATAACAGAAGATGCTTCATATGCCAAACTGTCCCACTGTTCCAGACAAGCAGAAAATCACCTTTTCAGTGAGCGTCATTGAGAAATGTATGAGTGCTGCATGGTGTAGAAGCCTCCTTTGCCACTCCAGTCTCTGGCCAGTGATCTGTGACAGTAGAGCAATAAAAACAACATTTAAAAGGAAGGCCACTGCCAGGCAGTCAAGCTTGACGTCCCACCAAACACGAGGGAAAATGCACTTGATCAAAGGCAAAAGAGAGAAAAGAGAATAAAAGGGAGCATGAGGGTGAAAAGAGGACTTTATATGGAAATCCCGGGGCTGGTGAGAGGCAGTTTCAGATGAATACAAAGCTTTGAATCAGGGACCTGGAGAAGGCTCTTTTTATGAGTTTGACAAATGAATTTGGGTTAAAAAAAAAAGACAAAAAATAGATGATGAAAAAGTATTTATACTGATACTCCCAATCCCAATGCCTGTTTGTGGTTATTTACCAAGTATACAATAAGGTAAACGGCCAGGTGCATTATTAATATTTATATTGCTTACAGTTGTATAGTATGCATGTGAACAATGACAATGAGCCACATGCATCTTCTGATGACTGAAAGCTGGATGGTGAAAGACGAAGAATATAGTGACTATGGAGGTCGTCAAAATGTGAAAAGTTCAAGAGAGCAGATATCTGAGCCATGAGTTAAATGTATAGTCATCTGGGACACAGGACATGATATGATTTGATCCAGCAAAGCCGACACACACAGTATTTCCAGTGTAAGGGACTTAAAATTAAAATTTTAAATAATTAAAGTTAACTTTTTCACACAAGTCACTGTAGAAAAACCACCAGTGTATAAGACGAAATGATTAATTGCGGACTTCCATTTGGCTTCAGTTGAAGGGTATTGTGCATGATGGCTCACTGTCACATTGAAACTGTCATGCTTTACTGAGATAGTTTAATAGAACAGAAATATTGTAACACCGGTACCTAAGTCAAGTCAAAGTGACTGTAATGCACAGTATTGCAAATATATTAGTTGATCAGCGTCTCACCTCACAAATGTGCTTCTGGAAGAATGGTCAAAAATCCCAATAAACACACTCCTAAATGTTATGAAAAGCCTTCCCAGAAGAGGGTGCAAAGGGTAGGCCAACATCACATTAAACTCTTTGGATTAAGAATGCAGTGACACACAAGTTCCTAACACTTTTGTTAATATAGTGTACTTTTCTTTCTTTTTTAAAATTTTCTTTTACAGTGCCCTAAGACCCATAGCCATGATTTAAGTCATAGGAAACCTCACTTACTTACAAACGCAAAGAAATTGATTTCTGACACTTTCACTTAGAGCATTGTGAATGTTTCCTGCATTCAAAATGCTCTTCAGCAGCTTGTGTTCGTCCTACTGTCACTAAGTGTTTTTGGTCATAGGTGGTCATTTGATTGTTGGGGTTTTCTCTCAATGATTGTAAGGTTTTTACATAAAGAATCCCGAGGTGGCTTTTGTTGTGATTTGGTGCAATATAAATAAAATTGAATTTCACTTAGAGCATTGTGAGTGTTCCCTGCGTTCAAAATGCTCCTCAGCAGCTCGTGGTCTCCTGGAAACTTCAGACACAGATATGCTTTTAAGTTTTAAATTATGGCTGCCACTTGACTTACTTGAATAAGCTTCTGATGGATGGAACAAATTTACATTTAAACAACAGAGAAGATACAACTCTACAGACAAGTTCATGTCTTTTTAATCTTAGATGTTAGACCTTATTGTATTATGTTGTATTTTTTAAATATTTCTTTGTCAAACATTCTTACTGTGTTACAAAATAAACTGTATGCTAACATCAAATAAAATTAATTTATTGTTTTTCAGCAAATCTACTAATGAGTTCAGCTGAAGCACTAATTAACTCTTTAAGGGGATCGTCAGAAAGGTGTATATTGTGTATCTAGTGTAATATTTTTATATAAACATGTCAACTAGAGTATTTACTCTGAATGAAGCCTTCCTTGAAGCTTGCATGATTACAAACACTTTCTGTTCCACGCAATAATTAACACGTTTTGCTATCCCTGAAGGAGCCAAAAGCTTTTCACACACAGCCGTCTGCCTAATGACACTGCCTCATCGTTTCCCCCACAGAATTATTCTGGTTCGACGCTGTGCAATCCCTTTACACAGAATCGCACAGCATTTTCCTTGAAACAGAACAATACAATTTCACACAAGCTGAGAAGGCTGATTACATTAAATCACATGAGGTCAGTGTGATTGTATCATGCTGTGGAGACACGCATAAGTGTGTTCAAAATTCAGAGTGGCAATGCTATTAAAAAAAAAAACATTCAGAGAAGGAGCGAGAGAGACACAGAGAAAGGGGGAGAGAGCGAGAGATGATGATGACAGCCGATTGGCCTTATCATTTCCCCCTCACTAAGTCAAGTGGTGCAATCAAATGATTTTCTCTCCTCTTAAACATGATTTGAATTATGCATCACATCAGCAGAGTACTTAAAAGCCCCATTCTCCAACAACGCACATTAAGCACTTACCTTACTTAGATTTCCAGAAAACTAAAGAATTAACAAGTTGTTTGGTCATGATGTACAGTAGTTCTCTGTGGATGAACAAGAAATAAGCTTTGCTATCCTCCTTGGATGGAGGAACATTTTAAATAAATGAATTTTATTTCAACATAGCAAAAACTCTCACTAAATAGAAATTGCACCGCATTCCTTTGTTAGGAAATCGTAAAAATACAATTTTGTATATTGTGTTATAGTCTGCAGAATATGTCAAGAATTGCTTGTTGTACAAGTAAAAAGGTGCTTTATTATTATTTGGGTTATGTGCCTT